AGCTCTTTCTCTCTCTCTCTCTCTCTCTCTCTCTCTCTCTCTCTCTTTCTCTCTCCATTTTTTCCGTGTATCTTTCTCGCACACACACGCTCTCTTTCTCTAATCATATACTCGATAATAAGTACTCCTTTTCTCTCTTTCTCGCACACACACACATGCACACACATACACACACACACACACATGCACACACACACACACACATACACACGCACGCACGCACACGCGCGCACTCTCTCTCTCTCTCTCACTCTCTCCGCGATGTGCCTTAAAAATTGATCCTTAACTACTTACTAATAATCGATTCTAATCACAGCAATTATTTATTGTTGATATACACAATCATACAGCGTCTCTCACTAATTGTTATTTTCATCTTTTTTTGTCGACTTTTTAGCAGAGGCTACTTCTCGCTCGAACGATGCCACGCGTCGCTCGTCTTGCGTTTTACTGTTTTTTTTTTCTGTTTCCCTTATAATTACTACTGTACGCCGTCATCGTCTTATCCATCGGTGGAGAATACGAGGAATGAGGAGGAGGGAGGAGGTCGGGATTGTAAGGAGCAAGGGCGCTGGGCAAAAGGTCCAAAGTGGGTGGAAAGAAAATGTGAGAGGAGTGCCTTGTTGTTGTTGTTGTTGTTGTTGCCACGATTAGAAAAGAGAGAAATACTTGTTTCCCTGCGAAACGTATATAGTAAATAACAAATGATTCCGCACAGTGACATGTATATATACGTGAGTGTGAGTGTGAGAGTGTGTATAAATAATTATAAATAAAGAGAAAAAAAAACAGGATCAGGTTTCTCCCCCCGAGAAACCCGACTCGAGAGAACGAGTCACCGAGACGGTGGTGACTCTCGCGGCCGATTGTGCTGACTGTGCGCTCCCTAGGGCGCACACATCGATCCAAGTGCGAACGCATCCGCGCGAAACCCTTTCCCTTTCGCCTGGCGGATCCGTCTCTCTCTCTCTCTCTCTCTCTCTCTCTCTCTCTCTCTCTATCGCGAGACGCGTACAGACTGCGTTGTGAAACGTGGTAATGGCGTGTATAAATATATCTCTTCCGATATTCAAAACAGGATAAAAATTTCGCAACCGAGGACTCCCGGTGTAAACCTCAAAGAGAGAGATATCCTCCTCACACCTAAGCAACAATAAAAGATCTTTCAACGCCGAATTACAAATAAATAAATAAACAATTTCACGTATAAAAACTTCACGCTCTAATATAGAATTTCCAAATGGAAGCACTCGAGTGGAGAGAGTTGTCTCGAGTAAATAGATCAATCGACAATCACGAGAATCGACAAACAACGAGATCGCTCGTCCCCGATCAAATCTCTCCCGGACGATGGGCAAGATCGATGCTCTCGAAAACTCATCAGGGAATGTAAAACCCTAACGTACGATCGAATACCACTTTTAACAACACAACCTGCAAACCCTTTTGAGCAAACTCGCTCGTGCCGTTTGACGTACGTACGTACGTACGTACGTACGTAAGCCGTGTTCGCGGCTCATTCACTTGGAAAAACGAAATGGTGTAAAGCGCGTCGAAATTGCGAAATCGAGATGAGTTGGGTGCGTCGATGCAATAAATAAAAGTGAAACCGCGGATGTATATGCCGACACGAGATGTCAAGATGCCCGAGAGATTCCCGACTGAGAGACCCGTCGGTTATGAGAACAGCGAGATGCCCCGTAATTAATAAATATGTACAACGTGTAAATCATATTTACAAGAAGAGACGATCTCACATCGAAAAGAGGCGAGCACCGCAAAGTACACGACGACGACGAAAATGCGAAACGCGCGAGGCGTCGCCGCGATGTCGAATTCGCGAACACATGAAATTACGCATCGATGCTACACGCCACACTTTCGTCCCGGGGAAGGATCATCAATTTACGCGTTAAAATCAAAAAGATCAACGTACGTAGAAAAATCGAGAGCGAGACTTTCTTACGCAACGGAAAGAGACGCAGAAAAGTCGACACTTACGCGCGAAGACCGTGGATTTAATTAATTGAGCTTACACCGGAAGCACAGACTAACGTTTTTTACTTTTTTTTTCTTTTCTTTCCTCCTAATGCGAACGCTTTTTCTCCATTTAATTTATACGTTTGGCACACAATGGAAGTGATCGGTACAGGATAATATCGCGAGGTGGTACACAAGTCGCGCCACTCGTCAATCACATTGGCCTTAATCCGATTCGCAAAGGAATTCAAAAATTTAGCTACCATAATTACCGTACGTCTCAGCGCGATTTTCTCCATTCAGTTCAATAATAATAATAATAATAGTAATAGTAATAATAATAATAATAATAATAGTAATAACTCAACGATTGGAAATTTCCACTTCTCGGCAAATCGAACCGAAATCAATATATAAACGCGATAAAAAAAAAAGAAATATCTCACGCGGTTCCGAAAAATAAATTATTTCATTTGCGTATTAATACAACAACAAATGCTTAAACACGAAATAAAGTAAA